CAACCAAATGAAAACATTAAATGACAAAATCACTTTTAATTTGTCAGAAATTGTCTTACACATAGTAAAAAAAAAATTATAAAAAATCTATAGTTCTGGCTACCTAAATAAGTTTATTTGATGAAGTTCCATGTTAAGATGCAAATTTAAAGAATACCAAAGCATGATTTTAAAAAGTATATTTCTCCAACAAAAATGAATAAGTGATCTGCTTGTTTTTATTTTTTTTTAATTTGTTGTCCTGAAGCAGGGGCCTGCCTGCTTTTGTATATAAAGTTTTATTGAAATACAATCTCACCCTTCTGTTAACTTATTGTGTATTGTTGTTTTCATTCCTCAACAAAAGAGCAGACTAGTAGCAAAGAGAAAGTGTGTGATGTGCAAAGCTCAAAATGTTTGCTTGCTAGTTCTCTATAGATAAGCTTGCCAGCCTCTGCCCTAGAAGCCAGCATGTGGCACCATGCTGGATCATTGCCCCACATTAGCAGTCATCTTTACTGCAACCCTAGTAGGAGTGTTCACTGTACCGGGTTTGTTAAGGCAGCTGAAGCTTAGAGACCATAACAGGTAGTGGAAAAGTGAGAAAGCTTGGAAGTCACATGGGCAGGGTTCAGATTCTGCCTCCACTGTTTAATGTGCTTTGTCAAGCTACGTGATCTCCCCAAGCCTCAGTGCCTACATCTGGAATATGGATTAGCTCATATTCCAGATGTAAAATAGTTATCACATAGAACTGTGGATTATGTATATATCCATATTCCAGATGTAAAATAATTATCACATAGAACTGCTATGACTATTAATTTAATTCACTTAGATAAAAAGCTTAGCTTAGTACCTATGACCCAGGAAATGCTCAGTAAATCTTTATCCATTGTTAGAGAAGTTCAAACTGTTGATCAAGACATCGTGTTCTGTAGTGGCACTGGCATTCCACTGCAATATGTCTGAATCCAGAGCTTGAGTTCACAACCACTACAGTAAATTACCAGATACTTAATGCACAACTGAAATATACTCTTCTCTTCCCTGAGTTTCCTATTTTCCTCTCTTTAATAACAAGAAATCTAAGTTACACAATTGAGCTGTGTCCAGTAAATCTGAAAAGCACTTTCACTTTCCTGGTTAAGTGAAGGGATTTTGCAAAAGCAATTAAGGTTCCTAATCAGTTGACTTTGAGTTAATCAAAGACTATGATCCTGCTTAGACCTGATCAAAGCAGATAAGTCCCTAATAAGAGATTTGAAGCAAGAGAGATTATGCTCCTGGTCTTGAAGAAGTGAGTCATCACATTGTGAGAGGGCCTTTAGGAGAGGCCATGAGAAGATTTCATGGCAGCCCCTCCAGCTGAGTATGCTCTCTGGCTGACAGCCAGCAAGAAAAAGAGAACCTCAGGCTCTAAACTGCATGAAAGTTAATTGAATGTTTTCCCAGTCAAGACTCTAATGAGAACTCGGCCCCAACCAATACCTGGATTGCACCCTGGAAAGATCCTAAAGTAGAGAATCCAGCAAAGCTATGCCAGGACTCCTAACCCAGAAAAACCATGAAATCATAAATATGTGTTGTGGAAAGCTGCTAAGTTTGTAGTAATTTGCTCTATAGCAATAGAAAAATACTACATAGCTGCAGCAAAATCAAGAAACATATTTCTTAACAGCTCTTTGGAGGCAAGAAAAAAAAGCAAAATATTTGCTAAAATCGGACTCACTCTGGTTTTTCGGAATGTGACTTCCTCATCCATTGCTGCCGTGTGCATGTCCAGAAAGCAGAACAGTCACATAGATTAAAACTTCGAGGTTCCAGTCACACTGCTGCTATGGCCCCTATTAAAACCACTCCTAATAAATTATGCCAAGTGCTTGTTATATGACGAGTATTTAAAAATAAAAAGGTACTAATTTATAGTAAAATACAAATTGTTATTAAAAAAAGAAATTACTAGATTTGTTTGTTGATTGTTGGTTATAACTGACTATATTTGAAATACCAGTTCATGAATTAATTTTATACAGTCTTTAAAACTAGTCATGGTGAGTTTGACTGAAGAGTAGTATTTTGTGATGGAGATACTTTGTGAAAAACAAGGAAAGAGGAATGGTGGCCTCTGGGGATCCTCAGTGAGTTGAATTTTGTGATTAAAATATTTGATGTTCTAACTGTGGTAGATGCAGCTCTGAAGTAATGACATAAACACTGGGACAGGGAGGAGGGAAGAAAAGATCCACCAGGCTGACCATGGCTAGGGCTACTAACCAGGTGGCAGGGTGCTAGGTGCATTTCCTTTGCGGCCATAACACATTACCATGAGCTTAGTTTTTTTAAAATATGTATTTCTTATTTCATGGTTTTGTAGGTTGAAACCTGGAACATCTCATTACTTTGCTTCTGGTTTCACTAGGCCGGAATCAAGGTGTCCATCGGCTAAGCTCTAATCAAGAGCTCTGGCAGGAATCTGCTCACAAGGTCATTCATATTGTTGGCAGAATCCACTTTCTTTTGATTTCAGTACTGAGGTTCTCAATGGCTCCCTGATAGCCAGCTGGGGGACACCCTAAGCTCCAGAGGCCTCTCTCTGTTTGTTTTTTTTTTTTTTTTTTGAGTGAGCCTCTAGACTTCAGAGCCAGCAATGGAGCATTGAAACGTCCTCACTCATGGAATCACTCTGACTTCCCATTTGCTGTATCTTTCTGACTCCATCCAGAGAAAGTGCTCCACTTTTGAGGGTGTATGTGGTTATATTAGACCTACTAAGATAGTATAGGATAATCTTCCAGTTCTAAAAACTGTACCTTACTTACATCTGCAATGTCTTTTTTGCCAGGTAATGTAACATATTTTTAGATTCCAGAAACTGGCCATGTTGATCTTTGGGGGCCTTTATTCTGGCCACTACAGATGCACTCACTCTTAGGAACATAGTGGTCAAGTCTGGGACAAGGATTTTAATGTGTTCAGCATGGTGTAGCCACTTTTTATACCCATGCAGAGGCATAGGTGATGGCGTTAAACCCTTAACAGCATAAATAAAGGAGTAGTACAAACAGTGTCATTTATCTTGTGGTTAAAAGTCAGAATAAGGCCGGGCGCAGTGGCTCAAGCCTGTAATCCCAGCACTGTGGGAGGCCGAGGCGGGTGGATCACGAGGTCAAGAGATCGAGACCATCTTGGTCAACATGGTGAAACCCCGTCTCTACTAAAAATACAAAAAATTAGCTGGGCATGGTGGTGCGTGCCTGTAATCCCAGCGACTCAGGAGGCTGAGGCAGGAGAATTGCCTGAACCCAGGAGGCGGAGGTTGCGGTGAGCCGAGATCTCGCCATTGCACTCCAGCCTGGGTAACAAGAGCGAAACTCCGTCTCAAAAAAAAAAGTCAGAATAAGGCTCAGCTTTTGAAATGGCTATATACTGGCCACGTGTACACAAGGTTGTGGGGCCTACCATAAATATGTGGATCTTGGGAAAATGAATCTCATATTTACTTTGATAAAATGTGACTAATAAAACCAATGGGAGATCATCTAAAGGATAATGACGTACTGATTTGCTAACATCTTATGGTGAAGAAATGTGAAAAACCCACTAAAGACATTTGCTCATGGTGGTTGCTAAACAAATGTTAGTTCCCTTCTAACCTTGTCCTACTCTATTTTTCCAGTATTGCTACAAGAACCCAGTGATTATTTATTTTCATTAAACAAAATTTTAAGAAACAGAAAAAAATATATTTCCTGTGACTCAATTTCCACCTAGTGATTTCCAAAGGGTTTGAATCCACTTGCGGGCACCAATAAATATACATAATGGAAATACCTAATTGTTAAGCATTAGGACAACTAAAATGTTGCAATTTGTATATGTGAAATGTTTTGTTGAAGTAAATCAATGAGTTATAAGCAAGTATGTGAAAAGATGTTTGATAATTTTTTTCTGGCTATGTATGGAATGGTTAAAGTGGTTTATTCTGAGTTTACAGATGTATAAAAGTTCATAAATAATTCACACAATAGGACAATTGAGGATAATTTGGAGTCTATTACATCAAGCACCATTGTTTGTTATAAATATCTACATGACATTGCAACTCTAATTTCTTCGACAACCAAACATTAGAATTATTACTTTGCAATTAAGTTTGTGCCTCAATGATGTTTATTCAGGCAATACATTTAAGAAAGGATTTCATGAAAGTCAATATTCTCAATGGCAGCTGGAGATATCTTGGTTCATAAAATATTGCACTTTAGGGTAGATCATGGGAAGTTAAACCTTCAGTCCCTCTCTGCTGTCCCCTATAAAGCTGTTTTTAAATCTCCTCTTTCCAAAGGCTGGGATCATTCCCCTTTCATCAGTGTCTTTTATTATTCATTTAAAACCTCTGTTGACACTTTCTTCACTGTAGTTTTGGGGGTTTTCGTTTGCTTTTTCTGTTTCCTTCATTGGGTTGTGAACTCTTCAAATGTAAAAACCACATATTGTTGACTTCCATTTCTAGGTCTAGTTTGGTTTTCTGGGTTAGAACTGGCTCCCAGTAAAGCACTTCAATAAAAGCACTGAAGAACTTCAGTTATAAGCAGATGATAAGAAAAGTATTTAAGACAACACGGGTAGATATGGGCTGATTTTAGGACAGAAAACAAACTAACATAAAGGGAATGATGAAAAAGGAAGTTTGGAGAAAGAATAGAAGAAAAATATTTTTAATGTCAAATATCATATCCTGATCTCTGGGTTTTTTTTTCTTTCTCAAATGTAATTGGACTATTTAGTCTAGAATATATATTGCCATAATAGTTATAGAAATGCTTTTCAGTTGTTTAACAATTCAAATCAGCAATGGTTATGCGAGTTTGAAAAATAAGAAAAAAAAAAAGATAAATATGGAAGGCATTTGTGCCAGGGATCCACAAATCTGATGCTTTGAGATTGCAATCAGGTTTCTGAAGTTGAGAGCTGGGCAGCCAACGAGGCAGTTACTTGCCTTGTGCGTCATCTTTTATTTTAAGCGCGAACGCGGTCCCCCACTACCACGAATTATGCAGTCGACTTTCCCACATTTGGGGAAATCACAGGGCTAAGCACATCCGGAGTGCAACGGATAAGCCCCACCCTGGGAAAACCACCTTCGTGATCACGGTATCTCCCCTGCCAGGTAAGTATGTGCATCATCTTCTTAAAACGTGGCATTTTCCCAGGGTAATTATTCAATAAGCCTAAGTACACACCTTAGGTGTTGGGTTTTGGCTCTGAAAATGTGAAAGCCTAATGCTTAGAATTAAAAGACACCAGCATTTTCCATCTTCTTCATATAATGCAGGTGGAATTTGTAGAGCAGAGCCACCTTCTAACTCAGATGATCTGATTATGCACAGACAGGCAATGGAAAAGATGGTTATTTAGGGTTGTACAGAGCAAGTGTACCCTTCATAAATGATGTTTACCCTTCATAAATGCCTATGAGACTTTAGGATTCCTCCTACTAACTGAGACTATTCTAAATAGCCAACAGATGGTGCCTGGTGATGATCAGGAACCACTGTTTCAATCAATTATATTCTCACCCATATTTTGCTCAACTCAGTGAACTGCAATGACTCAGCATTAATAATTTCCTAAGCATATATTTTTGTCCAACTGATCATCTTGCTACTAGTTCTGAACTCTTTCACTAGATACAGTTTATAACATAAGGCTTTTTTTCTTAACATCATTCATTTTCTTGAAATTTTCAAGACTAAACCTATTAAACAATATTAAAAAGCAAAGCTGTAGATTCCTTATTGTAATTCCCAGTTAAATACATCTTCCACCAGCAAACATAGTCAAGATATTGCTTAGTCACTCATAAAATATTAAAAAGTTCAATATTAGTCATTTTACAGAACCATAAGAGGTTGGATAAGTTTATTGGTTCAATTTTGGCCAAATCTATAAAAAGCTCATGCTCTATAATAGTTGCATTCTTAATAAAGGCGTTTGCAGAAGAACAAGAATGTTCTTTCGAAACCAGACATGAATTTTATGCCCTAACTCACTATGACTCATGGTAAGAATTGGTTCTCATAAAATTTATTTTCTATTTTACAACTAAAATGATCGGTTGACTTTCCAAAATAAATTCTGGTCTCAGGTTTATCAAGATTCAAGTTCACATATGCTATAGAGTGAGTAAATAGTCTTTGCTATCAAAATCAAAATATGATTGTGATTTTTTTAGGGGAATAAGAGTGTCCTACTGCACAAGGGGTCAGTGCATGTCTCAAACTATGTAAGAAAGAGATGCAGTTATTCATTATGCAATGCTTCCTGTCACCATGTGTCAGATCCTGCCACATGACAAACACCAGGCACAACAGAAGCACAGCTCCTTCCCCCTTCTCACTGTCGACCAACGTGAACATACATACTCACTTTGCATGTAATTAGTGTCCTAGCAGGTGTATGTGGAAAGTTCTTTGGGAACCCAGGGTGGGAGAAGCTAGATCTGCTTAGAGAGAGAGCAAGCCATTTTCAGAATGAACATTTCAACAAACACTCGTGGGGAGATAGAAAAACAGTGAGGGTATGAGCTTTGGATTTGCTTTTCTCTCTTAATCCAGTGTGACTTTGAATGACTAATACCAATTGTTGGACAATTTTGTGTGTATTTGTTTTCTATTTGTAAAATGGAATAATGAAAAGATCACAGAAACTAGACTAACTCACACAGCTGATGCAATTATTAAAGGAAATGATGTTTGAGAAAGTTCATTAGAGACTACAACAATAAGCTTACTAAAGAGTAGATTAAGAAGATGAACTGAGGACGGATTTGGGGGACAGTTAGCCATATGAGAAGTATGTGCTTTTTTTCCCAGAGGCGATCTTATTTCGTAAATCATCTTTGAGATAGAAAATGAACCTGGAAGAAATGCAGAAAAGAAAGTAATCTAAGAATAAAAGTCCAGGAACCAATCGAAGATAATTATGAAAGTATAGATCAGAGATAATAATTACCTAAACTGAGTAATAATAGAATAAAATGGAAAGGAGAGGTGAACCTAAGATGAATTAAAGGAGAAGCAATAAACCTTGGTAACTGATTTAATGCAGGTGACAAGAGTGAAAGAGGAATAAAGGTGACCATTTCTTACCCCAAGTAACTAAAAGGATGCCATGGTCATTAACCAAAGGAAGACACCTACGATATCTGGGGAAGACAAGTAGCATCTCAGGATGTCGTCTGGATGCCTTTGTGAACATATTTTGACATCACAGGAATAGGGCTCAGGAGAGAGGTTGGAGGTAGATAAATTGTTTAAAGATTCATCAATATAGATTTTGTATCTTATAGAAAATAAATCAAATTGAATTAAAAATAATAAAACTCAAACCCCACTCTTCTGGTCATAAATGGGGAGCCCCAGTATAGATCATAGCATCTTTCTGAAGGTCATCCCTTTGGAGAAAGTGCTTTCAAGTCTGTTTAGAATAATTAATTTGATGTCTTATTTAGGCAAAATGACACTTCTTTGGGAAGGGGAATTTCATAATTCTAGAGCATGACTGAGATGCTTTACATTTTTAGAACCTGTTCCCTAGGGAACATTTGTGAGGAGGAAGGCTCTGGAATCACTTGTAAAGAGTGGCACTTGAAGCTTCCAGGAGCATCAAGAGTTGAGGGCATCAAGGCAGGTGTATGACGGAAAGATGGTGGACCCAGCAGCGAATCTGGTTGGGAGATGTGGTGACACAGTATTCATTCAGCCTCGGGGCAGGTGCAGCTGGTGTCACCACCCCAGGCATTGCGATGGGGATTCAAGAGCATTACTCTTATTTTAAGACAAGTTCTACAGGTGTGATTTGGGATGCCATCCCTGAAAAAGGACAGAATACTATTAATGAATGACATTTAATCTTCAGGTACAAGGAATAGGATAGCCAGAACCAAACCTCGGCATGTTTAAGAGCCCGAATTTCAGGATGAAGCAGAAAAATACATTTATCACATTAGAAGCCAGGACAACTGGTGCTAAGGCACAGAGTGTTGAGTTTTAAGCCTTGGTTGCTACTCAAAGTGTAGTTCTCGGAGAAGCAGCCCAGCCATCCCCAGGAGCTTGTGAGAAAGCGGGAAAAAGGAGCGGGGACCAGATGCCTTTGGTGGTTCTTTCCAGTGCTGACCTCGCTCTACATGAATTGGGTTGGAGTTTATATTAGGAAGTAAGGATAGGTAAATATTGGGTTCAATTTTTTTTTTAAAGAATAAGAATGGAGATGTTAAAAGCAATGAAAGAAAGCAGAGAATATTTGATGATGCATTCAATACAGAAGGCTAGGCATAAGAGGTGATGTGGAATAAAGGTCATGAGAATTCTGAGCTTAGATCAGTGGGAAATAATTGTATCATTAACAAAGGATGCAATTTCGGAAGAAGGGATTTTTTGTTGATGTAGAGGGAAGATTGTAATCTTATAAACCATGACTTCCAAAATATCACAAATAAATTTGTAATCATTTGCCATAATTTTAGTGACATGTTATTAAATTGTGACCTAAAATTGTGCATCTTTTTATAAAATGCTGATTTTATAAAATTCCTTTTCAGAAGCCCCCCAAAAAATATTATACTCATATAACATTATACATCATATAATGTATATGATGTATAATACCTATACAGTATATGATGTATATGTTTTTAAAAAATTAAGAAGAACCTCATTGAAAAGTGTTCCTTTCTACATAGAATGGATGAGGATTAAATATCACTCATGGAGAGACAGATGATTTTTAATTTTTAAATGTTTTATTCTTCTGTGCCATTTCACTGAAATAAGGAGCAGGCTTCCAATATAACTGATGTTACCTGTAAGATGGTAGATCCAGTGGAAAGCATTAAAATAAATCTGTGGAAAACAGTCTATATGCCTCCACTCTCCCCTTTCTCCTGGTTCTGGAAGCAGCACCACATCTTGAACTTTTCAGAAACAAGTTGAAGAAATTTCAAGTCAGATTTCCTAGGTTCATGGAAAATCTCTTCGTCCACTCTTGAGAGTCTTTAACACAGACTGATATTTCCTTTTGTATGATTGAGAGCGTGAACCTTATTTCTTAGCTACCTGAAGACCTTCAAATTACTTACTTTCGTGGCAAAGTGCATTAAGGCAGGCATGTTACTGCACAAGACCACCTGCATTCTGACCACAGTCAGAATTGGGAGAATTGGGCTCTGCAGGGCTGCCACACTGTCAGACGCTGACAAATGATGAGCTCTGTGGAAGTGCAAAGGAAGGAAGAAGACCACTGCCGCTGCCACTTACGCAGACGCTGGCTCATCACTTACTGTGGAAAACTAGTGATTAGACTACAACAGCAGCCGTAGACTAGTGATTTGCCTTTTACAATTTTTCTTAAAGCAGGGCCCAGAAACCAGCACCTGGACAATGCATTTTCCACCTAATCATCCTCAAAGGATGTTCTGTCTGACAGGTCAAAGAAACTTCTCCCAGGAATTACGGGTTTTTATTTTATGAATGCATAATGGTTGCTGATGTGTTGGAGAGGGACTTGGTTGCTGAGTTTCCGATCACAAAGCTGGGTCTCGGGCACTTCTCTTTGTCCTGCTCAGTCCCTCACAGCACTGTTTTACACCACAGACAAAGAGTGAGAACATGAAGCCCTGTGGGGCACAGGTGTAAGTGAGGAAAGTCTCACTGTTAAAACCTAAGGGTTCTTCTGCCTTGTAACTGTTCCTATTTTCCTTGATACTGTAACAATGTAAGAGTATTCAAACATGCTTACTCTGGAGAGTTCCATTAAACAAAACAAAACAGAAAACCAAACCAAACCTGCCTAATGGCAAAATGTAAGGAAACGATTGCTATAGAAACGCCTAGTAGTTACACGCAAGGGGAAAAGCAACTCTGCAAAATTAAAACTTGATGATTTTGTAAAGTAAGTCATGCAATCAAAGACCCTCATCTTATCCGGAAGAAATCAAGACTCGGAGACTGAGTGATTTTCCCAGGTAAGTGACAGTTTGGCACCACAAACATTTGAGCATCTTCCACTCAATATATCCTGGGCAAGGCTGTGGGGATACAAAGAGGAGAATACCCACTGATGTTCTTCACGGGGTTCCCAGTCCAGGCAACAGAGCTGCACGCCGACAGAGGCGGTGT